TCTTACACTGCTAAATTAGGGACGGCTAGCGCAGATAGCCCTCGTGTAGCTTTGCGCGAAATTCCAAAAAAAAAACCTTCTAGTCTGTCACTTCTAAATTAGGATGGCTAGTGCAGATAGCCCTCATGTAACTTTCTGCAAAATTCAAAACAAACCGATCAGTTTTGCATAATTAATGTTTTATTCCTTAATATTTATTCTTCTTCCTTAAAAGGATTGTAATTTTTCTCGCTAAATGTGGGATTGTGTTATTTCGCGATACCCACAAATGGTCATTTTCCATATCTCTTGCATTGTTCTTCTCAGCCTTTGCTTTAAGAATTGTACCAGAAATGGGAAGTCTTTTCGAGTGGGCCTGAACAAACCACTGGTACAAAGCAGAATCCAGGGTTTCATCAGTGGCCACTGTTTACTTGTTATGTTGGACTCCAGATGCTTCTTCTAAAACACCGGGTAGGGCATGAAATTTTGATTCTTTTTTTTTCAACCTTGTTGGGTGGATTTGCTAATTCCAAGGTCACGAGAACCCTGAGTTTGCTGTTTGCCATTTTTAATTTAATCCAGAGCATACACTTTATCTTTGATGGTAAATGATTTGCACTTATGTGAGGATTTATCTATCATGTACAATAAAACAAAGTTAATTAAATTGTGAAAACCAAAGGCTATGCACAGATTTAAGAAAAAACACCTTAAAATGCCAGAAGACAAAAAAGTTGTGTTAGAATCACTTTTCTGTTCATCTCTTATGTACTGGACTGCCTTCTAGGAAGCAGCATACTTTTTATCATGTGACTAAAAAGGCTTCTCAGAAAAATATGTGACAGGGACAATTCTTTTGAAGAAAAATCGTCAAAATCATTGAATTATACAACAAAATCTTAAAGTGAAAACTGTCAAAACTCTGGAATTTAGCAATAGAATTTTGTGAGCCAAATATTGACTGTGTTATATCCGAACTTGCATTATACCAGGGCATGTTTTAACGAGGTTCTTCTGTATACATTCATGAATTAAGTATCGGCAAATTAAATGACACTTAAAATTAGTGTTCAGTTAGAGAATTCATTTTATGAGTAAGGATTCACTATGTTTTATTTGTTACATATTTCAGATCTAAATTAATACAGCAGTACATGTTGCTATAAGCATCAACGTTAAACATTTAGATTGTAATTATTACTATTACACTCCCATTTAGCCCATTAATTAGTGTAATTATTAATAATTGTGTTTGACCATGTTTAATAATTCTATGTTTGACCAGTCACATAAAAGCAAAGAAAAAATCATTATGTAAGTAGTGAACTAAACAGAAGGGTGGGGTGGAAACTACAGTTTATACCTTCAAAGTTCTGATATTTATCTACTATTACTGTAATTATAAGAACCCATGTGCACAAATCAGCTGTTTTGTTAAATATTGAGACTCTTACATATTAAAATTATTTGTTACAATGTATAAAGTTCTAAGTATAAGCTGTTTGAAATGTGAAGTTCAAATAGATTGACTAAAATCAACAAAGTGTGATTCTATAAAGAGTTAAGAAAATTTGCTTTGTTCAGAAAACAAGGATAGTTTAGTTCACTTCATGGAACTGTACAACAAATACTTTTTATCTAATTCACACAAATTTGTATTTAATATTAACTGCTACATACAGGGATTAAGTTAAAATTGAGAGTATTAAAAGACTTGTAGAACTATTATCTTACACAGATTTATACCTGTATGGTAAGGGTGGAAAGTTTAGAGTGAAAAACTAGATTTATAGATATGATGTAGGTATCAAACTGCTTATAGAATATCATAAGATATGGGGAAAACTCCAAGAAATGACAACATTAGCCATATGAATGAGGATTTATTTGAAAGTGATCTGTATCTACTAATAGGTTTTCATATTCTCAGAATGTTAGTTTTTTTCATAATGATATTGTTCATATTTCTTTATAAACAAAACTGAGTTACTGGGCAGCTTTGTTGAACACCTTCCATTTTTCTCGGTTTCGTAAGGTTTGTCTTCTCTTGTCGTTTCCCTCCTTTTTGGGTTATGTGTCCTCCACTTTTCTTTGAATTGCCTGGTTGGGATCTCAATGTGGTCTTTTATACCTTTTCCTGTCCTCAAGACCTCTTTCCTTCTTCTCACATGTGGATGTCATTGATCAAATATTTATTCCATTAATGTTGCCTGAATTTTCTATCATCCTATGTTCAAACTGTTCCTTCCTATGACCTATGCTGCCTATGAAGGCCACCTGGCTTACACACCCATTTTCTTACCTTTCATTTCCCACCTATACTCCCATTCTGAATGAGAATGACTTCTTTGTGTGGTTTGCTCTTGATGGTGTTATGTGACACATACTGTCTCTTTTTGGGATTCATCTTCCCAACTATTTCTTCCCTGGAATCCAACTGTTTTCTGTGATTTAACCCCTGTCACACTAACTGGCTGGATCTGTCAACTGGTAAGACTGTTGTATTCTGACTTATCTATGGCAGGTTGCCATCTCCACAATGTTTCTTCTCATGAAGTTCATCATATCACCATGTCTTTCACTGCTTGTCTTGACTTTGGAGAATATAGTTCAGGCCAGAATGTGGACTACTATCAATACCTTCATCACTCATTATCTGCACGATCTGGCCATATCTTCTTCAGGTGGATATTGTCTCCCTCCTGTGGCATTTCTACTCGTGTCCATTTGCTTTTGACTAGGGTAAGTCTTATCACATCATTTTATTTATGTTTTCTTTTTAGAGACCCTCTTTTTACCACTGCTAATGGGATCCCACTCTGTGGTGGGTATTGCCTGGTTACATATCCTTTGCTTTAAACCTGCACTAGAGATGGGGTGTTTTGCAAGACCACTGGTGGCTTGTCCAGTGGTATATACATATGTTTCTCAATATCCATCAGTTTTACTCAGTTGTAGACCATCACTCATGGTCTTTCATAAATAAAGCAGAAGGAGATTTCTGCCCATCCCTGCTTGACCCCTTGATTGAATACATTGGGGACATTGTGCTTTTCAAAATAGGGAATTATAGACACCCATTGCACTTTTGCCAGTGCGACATTCCTCTGGACTTCTCATTGCACTTACTTCCCCCCTTTTTTTCTCTGAGTGGAGTAAAGGGTGGTAGACCATGGAAACTTTCTCCTGAGTGCATTGTAGACTATTAGCTTACCATATATCCACTCAGTGAAAAGAGGGGAAAGCTGATTTGCCCTGGATGCTTATTCCCAGATGGACAGTTGTTGGTTGGAGCAGAATCGTCCCAAGTGGGATCCTCCTCATAATACCAGGTTCAGGATGACACCACTCTGTTCTGGTTGTGTAAAGTAAAGACCACCCTTCTCATTAATTCTGGTTTCAGGTGGTTCCTTCCCAACTTCTACAGTTGAGTCTGGGAGACTTCGTCTGCCTTATAATACCACCAACAAGATGTATGTACACTGTTCCTGCAGTTGGGCAAGTGTTCCATATCCTCCTTGTAATTCCAGATATAGGATTTCTTTTCCCTGCATTTATGGTTGGGTGAATTAAAATTTCTGCTCTTAATACCAATTACAGATATGGCCCTGTTCTTATGGTTGAGTTCAGGCAATGATGCGACCTCGTGATATGGAGTTACATTTATTGTACTTCTTGTTTGGGAGTTTCTCCAGTTTTGGCCACATGCCAACTTCCTCTTTGTAATTCTGGTTGATTGATATATGACACTGTTTACGTATGGTTGGGTTTCATGTGTATATGTAACATGGTCCACATGCCCCAGCAACATTGTTTGTGTTACTCTATATTCTATTTTTATCTGATTGATCCTCAGTCTCCTAATGCCAAGGATGAGTTGTGAAACCTTGTATGTATGGTTGAGGTTTGATATCTCCATAGCTACATCAGGTGTTTTTTTACTATGGATTGCACCTCTCAGAACGATTTTACTTTTGCACATCCTTTTTTTTTCCACCCATATCAGGTTCATTTCCTTCATGAAAGGCAAAGGGCATACCCTTTCCAGAATTAGTGCGGTACCCCACGTGTGCTTCAGTTCATTTCGGAGCACACCTGTTCATTCTTGATGGTTGCTTTCCACTTGGTTTCAACGTTA